TTGGGTCCCACGCCATACAAAGAATCCCAACTGGGCAGTAGTTTGGAAGCATACTGAGCACTAAGACTTCATGGGCCTAAAGCCTATTTCGAACTGGGCTGATTTGATCAGTTAAATTAAGGGGCAGATCTGAGATTAGATTAGCAAATAGAATAGGGTCTTAACCCTATCCACTCAGAGAGTCTAGATCTAAATGAGATTTAGATCTGGAAACCTCCTAATAAGATTAGGAGAGAGCTGATCTGATCTGCAGATAAGATAAGGGTCTACTCTTATCACTTAAAGGGAATTTAGATCCAAATATGATTTGGATTAGCAACTCCTAATCTGATTAGGAGCTGATCCCTTTAAAATTATAAAAGGAGGGGGTGGCAGCCTCTAGACCACATCCTCAATCTCAGAGCAAGAGTTACAGAAGAGAGAACATAGCATCCAGTGAGACTGCACTATTTTCTCCTTGCCGCCTCCTTCCTGTCGCCGCCATAACTGCCAGTTCGATCTCCTCTTTCAAGCAAAAACGATCAAGATTGAATCTTGATATCAGCCTTTGGAGAAAGTCTGATCTGAAGTTGTGCTCACAACCTCCAACGAATTCTTGTGAAGGGTTCGGTTCGTTGGACGAACACTGCTGATTCTTCTCCAACATTCACTGTCATCTTTAGTGGGAGTAGTCTTTGGAGTCTTTCTTTGGGCGTGAACACCTTCATTGGGAGATATTGTTTCTCCGTATCAGGTATATCCCTCTCTTGCTTCTGGTTTCAGATCTGGTTCGGTTTATGGTTCAAGATTGATCCTTGAAAATGCAGATTTTCTAAAACAGGGAATGTGATTCCCAGATGAGGGGAGAAGAAATTTTTGAAATTTCGCACAACCTACCTGTAGGGTTCGGCCATCCATATGATGGATCTCTCATCCCTTCACTTATGACAAACAAAACTGGCCACATATTTTTCATAATATCACCTGATGAGAAAGCAACAAACAACTCCATAGACTTAACCCAATGTATCACTCTCACCATGATTGTTTCAATGACAGCCTCTCTAGTTCTTTCCATCCCTGAAAACAGTCTTGCATTCCTTCTCAAATGGTCCACTTCACTGCAGTCCTCACACATCTCCATAACACTCATCCCCTTTTCTTTGGCCACATCAAGAAGTAGAAGCAAACAAGCTTTGCACATTAGTCGGAGGAGACCGCCTACACCCAAACAAAGAGAAAAACCATTCTCAAATAAAAGTTACAAAGGGGCAAGAGATTAATAAGCAAAAGCAAATTTCTCCATTGGCCTTACACATAACACACTAGTGAGGGGATAAACACCAATTAGTTCTTTTCCTTTGGAGTAAATCACAGGTATTGATTCTTTCCAGAAAGACTTCCCAACAAAAACCTCCAACTCTTGGAGGGATGGGATTGCCCCAAACCTCCTTCACAAGAATAGGTAGCCCCAATAAATCAAAAGGTTGAGCAAGAGTCTTAAAAAAAGAATCACAGGAATAGACACTAGATGAAGAAAGGGTCCAAATACGACTATTAGGTTTCGAGGAATCCAAATAGAACCCATCGAGGATATGAAGCAAGTCAATAATAGCATTCAGTTCTAAATCCCCCACACTCCTTCTCAATCTCAAATTCCAATCAAAAACAATTCTTGAATTTGAAGAAACCATGAAAGAAAACACATGTTTATTTTTATATCTTGATAGGGCATAAAACATAAGGGAATTTATCTTTCAAAGAGAGGTTACCCACCCAAACCAATTCCCAAAATTTTATAGGATTGCCAAACAAAGACCAAACCTAACAAAATTTTATATGTCCTTGTATACACGTGCATTTGTATCTGCATATGTATACTGAATAATTCATTAAAAGTTAAAACTAAAATTAATCACTCGACATTCAGAGTTAATAACTATGAAAAGCCGAATCAGAATATCCAGAGACAGATATGAAAAATTGACAAAACTATGTTACCCAGATTCTTTCAATAAGGAACATTGATAAGTTACTTACTCCTTGAACAGTGCCTTCATTCGTTTCTGACCCTCAGTCACAGCCTTAGGATCCATTGCCTGAAGTAGATAAACATATCAAGCTGTGTTCTCAAAGTTTATTAGTATTCTACTGTATTTACACATGAAGTCCAAACTAGCCACTGGATCAACCTTGGATAGTTTAACAATGAATGTACACATGAACATTATGTAAGGTGTTATGATCCACCATTTCACGGGCCCCAGCTGGAAGCTTCCTGTGTTATATAACTATATATAATTAGATTACCATGCTCACTTTTCTACATGCCTAATTACTAAAACTTCTTTCATATATTTTTATTCATCAACTAAAATAATGTAAAAAGGTTAGATAGTCAAGACAAATGACCAACTAGAATTTGCTAGATAGGACCCATTAAATGGTACATCTCCTTATAACCATAAGAGGGGTCAATGCTCAAATTAATAAACTGTGTAACTTGGGGTGCATTTGGATAAAATTTTAGAAGAAACCTTTAATAGTTTTTCTGCTTTTGGTAGGCAAAAAAACAAAAGGAAGCTTAAAAAGTACATTTAGTAACATATGTTCAAAACTTTGCTTCTCAAACAAAAAAGAAGGCAAAAATCCCTGCCCCATTCCAGATCAAACCTTTTAACTTGTCCAGTCCAAACAAAAACAAAAGAGAGGGACAAGAAGGGAAAAATAAAATTTTAGAAAAGGTGAAGTTTGCTACTTCTCACAAACCTGACGAAAAATTCTTACCTACCTAGTAAAAGTAGAAAAAGAAAGTTTTTCCATCATGCAAAGAAAACAATAAAATATTAAGTGTCCATACCATATCTATTTGTTGTTTAATCTCCTCCAAATGTGGCCTCATCAACTGCATAATGTCACTAAAGTTACCAACAATGGGATGCCAAAAATGCAATTCTAGTTTTGAAGATAATCACAAATAAAAGATTTGTTAAAAGAAGTAAACAAACATTAGCCAACATGAGAGACAAGAAAGGAAAAAGAAACTTTGCTAAAGTTTGCCTAGGTAACACCAAGGTGATATACTAATGTAGGTCATTAATAGACCTGTTCATGGGCCGAGTAGCGCAACGGCCTGGCCTGGCCCAGCCCGTTATAGGTTGGGCTTGGTCATAATTTTAGGCCCGCAGGCTTGGGCTCGGGCCTAAAGCATCGGGCCCGACTTCTCTTCGGGCTGGGCCCAAGCCCAAGCCCGAGCCCGACTTGATACTATATATTAAATAATAAAAATATATTTTATTTAATAAAAAATATATATACAATATTTTTTCTTTGTTCTTCTCTTTTTTTCCAAGTAATAGTGAGATGTTTATTATTTTTGAGTTTTGAAGGTTTTTAATATAAATAAAACACTTTTTTATTGAATAAAAAAGAAAAAAATCCTATTTTCAAATTCCTGGCTGGGCTCCGGACTTTATATGAGGGTCGGTCTCGGGCTCAAGACCTAGGCTTGATAGTTGGGCCGGGCTCGGGCTCGAGCATGAGTGTATTCTATTTTTACATATGCAAAGCCCGGTCCGGCCCATGAACAGGTCTAGTCATTAATATTAAGCACATAAAATTCCTTAGTTAACATAATAATTTAAAAATGTATTAATATAAAGGAAGATAGCCTAAACAAGTCAATTAGGTTGATTAGAAGACACCACTTATATCTTCAACATGGAGCAACTAGGGTTGTTCATAAGAAGACCCAACCCGGACCGACCCAACCCGAGTTGACCGGGTTTTCTTCAGCACCGGTTGGTTTCGGGTTGTAAAAAATCATAAACCGACTTAGTAGTTAGTTCCTAGTTAGTAGTTACAACCTACTTAGTTCCTACTTAACTAAGTTGTCTCTATCCTAGTTACAACCTAACTTAATTTCTAGTCTTCTAGTTAGGAATGACATTAATGGCAAGTATTGTAAGACAACTAGACAAGGATTTTTTTTGGAAAAGTTTAAAGAAAAGAATCAAAGGATCCTAGTTTTTATGGTCTTTTACACCAAATAGGCAACCAATTACAATTAGAATTAGGTGTCATTTTTTACTTAGATTAGAAGGTTTCTTGAAATATACAAATTTCAGTCTTCTTTCTTTAATACAGTTTGACTTTCTATTTTCTTGATAACTTCTACTCTAACATGGTCCGCCCCCCTTAGCCCCTCAACTCAAGCACAATCTCTAATACAATTTGACTCTCAAGAATAAAAAATTTGAAATTTCAATTTATTATAATGGTTGAACTTAGAGATGAAACCGACCCAAACCGACCCAACCCGACTCAAACCGACCAGGTCGGTTTTGTTTAACACAAAGTCGGTTTCGGTTTCAATTTCAGGTAACCCGACCAGGTCGGTTTGGTTGGAAAAATCTCAATAAACCGACCCAACCCGACCCGTGAACAGCCCTAGGAGCAACTACATAGCCAATGTAACCAATCCATCACATGAGGAACCCTTTGGATTAACCATCATTTCACTCCACAATCCATATCAGACCCATACACCATGTCCCTACCATGGTTTAAAATATCTATAAATGTCCTAATATTTCCACGACATATTTCCATTTCCATGGGTAATGACATGAAATTTTATTGGAACCAACATATTTCACAATGTTACTAACATGTCTATAATTATAATATTTCCATAAGATATTTCTAACATTGCCAACATGATTTCTATATTTGGATGACCAACATTTCCACCAGAATTTACATTTCTAACATTGCCTTCACCTAGTGATATTAGATGTGCAATTTTCACTAAGTTCAAAAAGTAGTCGTATGAGACTACTGACAGCCCAAGCTGTAGTGTATAATCAATAGGAAATTAAGAGGATGAGAGGAGAGAATGAGAGGAGGAAGAGAAAAGAAGAGAAGAAGATTTCGAAGGAAGGATTTCAGAAAAGAAGATGATGCTTAATCTGCCACCCCCCTCTTTCTATTTATATTAATTCTGAAGTAAGGATAAGACTGTTTACATGGCAAAATTAAAATCCTAATAAAAGACAACAATTAAAGTCCTAATAAAAGACTAAAAGACTAAAAGTCCTAATAAAAGACTAACAACTAATTGTGGACTGACACTTAAATAACTAGTAGTTGTATACGAGTACAATAGAAAGAAGTGAGGACCACGTCAATGGTTTCTACACTCCCCCTCAAGTTGGGAATAAATGTTTATCATTACCAACTTGCATAGATCTGCTTCTAAGTTCTTCTTTGAAATTGCCTTGGTGAGAAGATCAGCAAGGTTCATGTTGGAGCTGATATATGGAAGACAAATTTCTTGAGATGCAACCCTTTCCCTAATAAAATGTCGATCGACTTCAATGTGCTTAGTCCTGTCATGTTGTACTGGGTTATGAGCTATATTAATATCAGCCCGATTATCACAGTACAACATTAGAGGTTTCTCATAGGTAATACCCGATTCATCAAACAGTGATTTCAACCATAGTATTTCAGCCACACCATTTGCCATGGACCGATATTCAGCTTCAGCACTGGAACGAGAAACAACATTTTGTTTCTTACTCCTCCAAGAAACAAGGTTACCTCCTACAAAGGCACAATATCCAGAGGTAGACCTTCTATCATCAACACAACCGGCCCAATCTGCATCTGTGTAAATTTATATCTTCATGTGATTATTATCCTTAAATAGTACACCTCTGCCTGGACACCTCTTTAAATATGCCAATATCCTCTCAACAGCAAGTAGGTGGGTAGTTCTGGGAGAATGCATATACTGACTAACAACACTGACTGCATAGCTGATGTCTAGTCGTGTAAGACAAAGATTAAGTAATTTACCAACTAATCTTTGGAACATAGCTTTATCTTCAAGAGGCTCTCCACCTTCTGCACTAATCTTGGACCGACTACCTCAATACCCAAGAAATATCGTAGCTCTCTCAGGTCCTTTACCTCAAATTCTTGATGGAGAAGTTTCTTAAGAGACTCAATTTCGTTGTTATCACTCCCTGTTACTACAATGTCATCCACATATACAACAAGTAGAGTCAACGAAGTATCCACTTTCTTAATAAACAAAGTGTGATCTGATTGAGCCAGCACATAGCCAAACTTTTCAAGGGCTTGTCTGAATCTATCAAACCAAGCTCTAGGGGACTGTTTTAGTCCATACAAAGCTTTATTCAACTGACAGACCCTCTTACCTGTCTCTGTACTATAAAAGCCAAGAGGTAGCTGCATGTACACTTCTTCTTGCAAGTTCCCATTGAGGAAGGCATTTTTAACATCCATTTGGAACAAGGGCCAAGAGTAACTGGCTGCAAGAGATAACAACACTCTGATGGTGGTCATTTTTGCTATTGGTGCAAAAGTCTCCAAGTAATCTATACCATAAGTCTGAGTAAATCCCTTTGCAACTAATCGGACCTTATACCTTTCAATGGAACCATCAGCATTATGTTTCACAGTAAACAACCATCTACATCCAACTGGTTTCTTCCCTTTGGGTTGATCAACTAGCTCCCAGGTATTGTTTCTCAGAATGGCATCCATTTCTACCTTCATTGCATCTTTCCATTCAGGAATGGTCAAGGCTTCCTGTACTGTTCTACGAATGGGAATATCAGCAATTGATGCAAGAAATGACTTATAAGAGGGAGACAGGTGATCATTGGACAAGAATTGTAAGATATAGTGGGCTGTGGATGAGGTGCAATGGCGTTTGCCTTTACAGACTGCAATGGGAAGGTCAAGGTCATTCAATGGAAGTGAGGGCTCAGAAGATGGAGAAGGCTCAACAGCAGAAGGCTCATCTGTAATGGGAGCTGGAAGAGATGTAGTACCTAGATCTGGATCTTCAGAAGGAATTGGGGCTGGCCTGGACTGCTGATAACCAAAATCAACCTGCCTCCATCATCTGTGATAAACTCTCAAATCCCAACAAATGCCTTTTGTATCACTGAGACTGGGTAATTGCACCCAGAATTTGCTATCAGCCGAACCTACTTTATCCTTCTAGGTTGGCAATCCACCTCAAAAAGATAACCTTCCAAGTACAACTTGGAGTGCAGAGCTGAGAGTGCAAGGCTGAAACTAACTGTAGCCCCAGAATTGGCGACAATCAAGAAACTAGAATCTTGAACCTAGAACCAGTCAAAGGTCAAGAACCAAGAACACAACTAATTCAGCTGCACCTCTTAAAGTAACCAAAAAACTATTCTTTTAATGTATCAAGAATAGTTCAGGAGGAAAACACTTTCAGTCGAACCTTCGAAATAACCAGAAAAGGTAATCCTTTTAATAGAAAAGATTGACTTACTTCAGCAAAACTCTGGCCGCAACCTTCAAAGATAAGTCTGAACCCTAATCTTGAGGGTTCTTCCTTCTGACTTTCTGGCCRCAACCTTCAAAAACAAGTCTGAACCCTAATCTTGAGGGTTCTTCCTTCTGACTCTTCCTGATTGTTGATCATCCTCTGATGCTTCACCAACAATCTCCAAGACTCAGCCGATGATCCCTTTTGCTCGAAATTTTCCAACCCTAGGAAATTCTTATGCAGCCGGCCATGTCAAACTATCATAAGATTTCCTAGGTTGGCTCTGATACCATGTAGTCGTATGAGACTACTGGCAGCCCAAGCTATACTGTATAATCAACAAGAAATTAAGAGGATGAGAGGAGAGAATGAAAGGAGCAAGAGAAAAGAAGAGAAGAAGATTTCGAATGAAGGATTTCAGAAAAGAAGAGGATGCTTAATCTGCCGCCCCCCTCTTTCTATTTATATTAATTCTGAAGTAAGGATAAGACTGCTTACATGGCAAAATTAAAATCCTAATAAAAGACAACAATGAAAGTCATAATAAAAGACTAAAGTCCTAATAAAAGACTAACAACTAATTGTGGACTGACACTTAAATAACTAGTAGTTGTATACAGTACAATAGAAAGAGGTGGGGACGACATCAGTGGTTTCCACAACCTAGAAATGGCTTTCTAGCTAAAACATTATTTGCCTCCACTCTGGTGACTGAGTTTGCTATTAGGTTATAGGCAGATTCATTCTCAGGCTACAACAGAGCCTCGAGTCACAAACTACAACTAGAAAAGTTGAAGAATCTCCAAGGAACATTCTGTGAGACAACAATAATTTGGATTAAGAGAGACAGGAATGTTATGTGTTGTGTACTACGTGCAAAACAACTTGACTTGCATCCATTTTATAGATTCTAGGGTGTCACCCTGAAAAGTTTCAGGTCTATTTGAATAGGGTCTTTGTACAGTCACGAATTTGAACTTAGTGATTGTTCATAGTTAGTTAACAATTAATAACTGTTAAATACTCAAATGGTGTCTCTTGATCACACACCTGATCAAGTAATGACCACTGGATTAAACTTAAAACATTAACAATCATGATTTGACCTCCCAAAGGTGTCATTTCATGTCTTTACGCAAATTCGTGAAAATTCTGTCACAGGAATTGCAACCAGAATTGGATGTGATGCCAACTTCATAATTGAAATCATAGCCAGAATCACATTTGCAAATCTATCTCTTGCAACCAGAATCACAGTCATAATCGCATGTGATTATGCAAACCCAGCTTCACAAACTCATATGTGAATCTGGCTATTCAGTTGGATATTCACACGAGTTTAGCTTTGCAACTTGGATTCACACTTCCATTTATGGGACTAACCAAATATATGGTTCCCTTATGTGAAACCACGTGGGTGCACGCAAGATGCGAGCAAAGTGTGCCTTAAAAGAGCCTCATTGTGCACACGCACATTGCACAATAGCAAGTTTCTATACTCTCCTCTTCATACTTCTAATAGTGTAAGCAAGCTCCTACTAAAAAGTTTAAATGAAGTCTTATAATTTTCCAATGTGGGACAAGGTACAAAAGAAAAAAAAAAACAATAGACAAAACAAGAGTTTGGGTGGGAATTTTCAAATTTTGCAATGCTATTTTTCAAAGTCAAAAAGATGTGTACAACTATGTAATTAATTAATCAAACACCCATGGAACTTAATCAAGAAATACCAAGGTGGCCTAAGATGTGTTGTAATGCATTCACATGGTTATAATACTTTCTTGTGTGACCTTCCAATAAAACACTAAAAACCAAATCACTTAGTGAGTGCATAACTGGGTGATTTGACTTCGATGAGTTTGCATAGTCACAACACTTTCTTGTGACCCTCCAATAAATCACAAACATGCTAATAATCAAATTTAAAATCAAATCACCTTGTAAATGCATGCATTGATGATTTGGTTTCGATTACTCTGTATGGTCACAATACTTTTTTGCAACCTTCCAATAAAATATAGACATTCTATCAATCTAATGAAAGACAAAATTACCCAATGAGTGCATGCTTATTGTTGCTACCCCAAATGATACATGAAAATACCCACTATCATATGATAAAATGGAGACTACCTCTAGGATGCACTACCTTTCTAAGAATATCAAGAAATACAAGGGTTACCTAACATGTGGAGCAATGAGTCACATTATCATAAAACTTTCTTGTGGCTTCTAAATCAATACCAAACATGCCATAAGTCACGACAATTTCTTGTGACCATCTAATAAAGCAAAAATATGCTGTTATCAATCAAATGAAAAGCCAAATAACCCAGCAAAAAGCATGTTAACAACTGACTATCTTATAAAATAGAGACTACCTCTAGGCCATACTGCCTATGGAAATGAGGTAATACAAGGTAACTTAAACATATAGAGCGACACCTAGAAGATAAAGCACTCATGGAGATTAAATGTGCTTTCTACAAAAAATGCATAAGGTGCAAATGCATATATGTCACATGGCAAAATATGTGACACATGGCACAACTATGGGTCAAGATGCCGATAAATATACGCCACATGGCATAATATATGCCTTGTGGAAAACTGTGAATATGGAAAAATATATGCAATGTGCCAAGATTTTCAACATATGGCAAGATATATTCCATGATGTTCATAAATATATGACATGTGGCATGATACATGCTTTGTGGCAAAATATATGCCACAGAGAAAAATTGGTGACGTATGTCAAGATATATGCCATGATGTCCATAAATATGACATGTGGAAAATTTGTAAATATGGTAAAATATATGTCATGTGTCAAATTAGTGACACATGGAAAAATACATGCCAAGTTTTTTTTTGATAGATAAAATACATGCCAAGTTTGATATCCACGTGTCAAAATATATGCCATGTCGCATTAATTTGTGCCACATGGCACAACTATGGGTCATTTGACATTTTTATATTATAAATTTCAACCAATGTTTTAAAAGGTGTGGGAGGCATACGCCTAGAGGCGCGCCTCCAGGTGAGGTGGCCCCAAAATGCCTTGAGGCATATGCAGAGCCATTGACACCTCTGAGACATATGCCTCAGTTGTAAGAGGCGTACACCCATGAACTTTTTTCATGAGGCGTGCTAGAGGCATATGCCTCATATGCCTCACACACAACCTCATATAAAAAGACCAAAAAAAAGAAAAAAGAAAAGGAAGGGAAAGGGAAAGAAAAAGAAAGAAAAGAAAAGGAAAGGGAAGGGAAGGGAAGGGAAAGGAAGAGAAGATAAGGGGAAAGAAAGTGGGCCAGGGGCTTTGCCCAACCTCCTTTTGTTCGGGAGGCTTGTGCTTCTTACGTTCTCACGCCTCTAGGTGGTGGAACACCTTGCATCACACCTCCACGTTTTAAAACAATGATTTCAACAAGCAACAAGTTGACACATGGAATTTATCATGTCACATGTGGTAAAGCAATACGGCATAAGTTGCGTAACCAAACACTTATTAATGCTTTTAGTCTCAAGAGCATGTTTTCACAACAATAATTACCAAACTATGAAAGTACAAAGTAAAAGCATGAAACGTACTTCAGACTTTTACTTTGTACTTTTGTACTCTGAAAAACACAAAAGCAAAAGCTTACCCAAACATAACCTTATATTCTTAAACTTTCTGAAATTATAATAATAAACAAACATTATTAAACTAAATTATTCAATTTGAGTTAAAATACTAGCTACTTTTTATTATTTTTCTTGTTTGTTTACTTGTTAGGGTTCAATCAAGATGTATACTGTCTAGAAAACTTGAAGACTTCAAAACCTGAAGTAATAAGCATGGATGAACTCAAAATTTTGTCCAATATTTCATCCTTTCTTTTCTTTTCTTCTTTTCCTAGGACAAAACTAGAGGCTCAGCCCATCTATTTTGAAATTTCTTCTTTCTTCGATTTTTTTCTTCATGAACATGTTGATTTTCTATGTTTTAAATGAAGTTTATACATTTTTTATTGATATGAACATGTTGATTTTCTATGTTTTAAATGAAGTCTATACATTTTTTATTGATATGAAACCATGGAGGTAAACAAAAAACAACCCAGAGCCAAAAATGAACTTCATAAAGAAGGTCAGAGAGGAATTCTTCCACCAATTACTTTCTCCTCTTCAAAATCCAAAAGATATATTTAACTCTAATTACTTGGGGAATGACTACTAGAAAAGGATAAAATACCTATACGTTTCCTAGATACTTGGTTTGCACTAAGCAATGCACGTTTCTAGATACCTTTAACAGGGAAAATAATATCATACCACATTTCAGTAAACCTCTTCAAATAGGATCTAAGGCAGGTTTCTACTCAGGTTCATGTTCAAGCCTCTTCATTATTCAATGTTTAACAAATTTCCAACCCAGGTACTACTTCTATCTTCAAACCCATTTCTACTGCTAATGTAGAAATTGTAGATATCTGGGATTAAAAGGAGAAAAAAAGAAGTATAGACATCTAGGATAAGATTTACTTGGTATGTAGACCAAATTCAGTAACCAAGATCTTAGACAACCATATGAAAAAAATAAAAACATCAAAGTTTTACCACATTGAAAATCAAATAACAATGTTTTAGAGAAAACAGAGAAAAATTAATTCTATAATAGTCCAGGTTTTTCTGTATACCAATATCTGCTTATACTTGACTGAAAGTAGAAAACCACAGAGGAAAAGTTATATGTTCAAAAAAGATCGCACAACTGGAAAGATACTTCCAGTCATTGTGGACATGTAGATACATACAACAGAATCCAACTATGATACAGAAAAAGGTTAGATACCTAAGAAAACTGATAACCATTTACCAGTATCATAGATGTGGTAATAAATCAACTAGTATTCATCAAAATTAATGTGGGTTGGGGGTCTCATTGGTAAAAGTTCTTCTGGTATCATACCCTTCTGGCATCATAGAAATTATTGTACAAACATTGAAATTGTATATTGTTTTCTTTTTTTTTCCTTTGTTTTTTTTCTATTTTTTTTAAAGATAAGTACATTGAAATCGTTCAGTAAATTAAAAATTGTACAGTTGAGGAGCAAACTAACTGTTAAAAGAAGCCATAGGTTATTTTAAATACATTTACATCATGTAATCAACATGAGTAGAAAGGAGAGAAAACAACTAATAGAAGTCAAAAGGAAGAAACAAAAAGAAATGCACCGTACAGTAAGCTTTGAAGTAGCTTTGAGCTGATTTATCAAAAGTGGAACTGTAGCCCCTCGAATCAAGATGGTTGTTAAAGCTATGGATGCCCACCTGAGGACAGATACTATGCCTTAGAGAAAAAGAAATCAGAGTAAGAAGCTATTATAATTGTTGGTTCGGCTGTCTTAATTTGTTTGTTTATCTCTGTTGGGTCTTAAGTCATTAGTTATTGGGCCTTAGTTATTGGGCCTAATCTTATTTAGTGTTTTATTTGACTAGGTGTCCCATCACTAATCAGGGGCATTCTAGTCTATTTATGTAACATTATGTAATGCTCTTATATATAATAGAATAGGGCTGGCTGAGAATAGACACAATACAGCAGACTGTAGCCATTCGGCTAAGAGGGATCTGTGTAGAACATATCTAGGAGGGAGGACTGATCTTAGCAGTCCTAGAACTGTTCGTGGGTGAGGTTAGAGAGCCTGCGATAGCAGTGATTAGCACACAGTAGAAGCCAACACAGCAAGTTGCAGGCTGCGGCAGCAGTGATTAGAACACAGCAGAAGGTTGCACAACAGATTATAGTCTACGACAGCAGTAATTAGGGCACAGTGCCGCAGTGTAGTACTCGGTGTTTCAGCTCTGTGACGGGTTCTCAGGACTGAGTTTACAGTGCAGCAAGTTTTGTAAGTTTGAAACAGTTCTCTATATATTGTGTTTACAGTCTTGACATTTACAAGTAGGAGAAGATGTCTTCCATATCCGGGGAAGTGTCTTCTAGAGATGTTAGGGCTTGTGGGAGGTCTCCTAATCTAGAGAATCCAAATCTGCACAGCCTACAGATCACAAATGTGTTGTTGGATGAGTACAACTTCAGAGAATGGTCTGTTTCAGCCATGCTCTTCATCACATCCCGGGAACTCACTGGTTACTTAGACAGGCAGAAGAAGGAACCCGAAGTGGGGAGTGTTGAATATGCAATTTGGCGCAAGAATGCTACAGTTATGTCCTGGCTACTTGCTTCAATGACTCCAAGAGTAGCTAGGACTGTTCATCATTTCTCCACGGCTGCCAAGATATGGGAAAAAGTGTCTAAAACCTATGGGCAAAAAAAAAAATAATGCCAGAATTTACAGACTGAATCAAGACATTGCTGCCTTAGGCAAGGAGATATATGAGTATTGCAACATATTTTCCTACACTAGGACTATGGGAAGAGCTTGATCATCACCTTATTATTGATTGGGAGAATGCCAGAGACAAGGAAAAGCATGACAAACAGGTTGAAGAGGGTAGAGCATTTAAATTTTTGGCTGGCCTAGATCCAATATAYGAGAGCATAAGGTCCCAAATTCTGGGAAGGGATGAAATGCCAGACTTACATCATKTHTACTACCTTGTGAGGAATGAAGAGGTGAGAAGAAAAGAGATGCAGGTTGATACTCAAACTAAACTAGCAGAACAATCTGTGGAACATTCGGCCCTAATCTCTACAAATCAAAGGGGGAACAGGTACTCGGACAAGAGACATCTGAAGTGCACCCACTATGGAGGRGAAAGGCATGTGAAAGAGACCTGTTGGGTTCTCTATCCGCATCTGAAGCCAGCTGCATTGAGGAAAGATAAGAAGCATCAGAAGGGTCAACCTGTAAGTGGGAATCTGGCTGCGAGTCACAGTGATGATGGTTCAAAACACTCATCCACAGTTACTTCCTCTTCCATAGATAGAGGTTCTTAGCCGGGCCCTAGCCCGTCTAAGGACCAATTCTCTTACTTCCACCTCCCTTGCCAGATTAGGTATTGTCTCTGCCTTTAGTGCATCTAGTACTATTGATCCTGCCTCTTGGATTATTGATTCTGGTGCAACTGACCACATGACACACATGTCTTCTCTATTTTCTTCCTATCATTTAATGTCTGGCCAAGATAAGATGAGGGTTGCTGATGGTTCTCTCTCTACCATCTCTAGGAAAGGAGTGGTTGACCTAAGCAAGGACCTCTCACTCAAATCTGTCTTCCATGTTCCCAATCTTTCTTCAAATCTCTTATCTGTTTCAAAGCTTACCAAAAATTTGAATTGTAGCATAACCTTTTTTCCTACTCATTGTGTCTTTCAAGACAGATTGACGAAGAGAACGATTTGGGAGCGGTCATGAGTGTGGAGGTCTCTACTACCTTGATGCAGACATCAATTCGGCCTTACAAACATCTACTACTAGTAGTCAGTCCAATGTGGAGTCAATAGCTAGGTTACATCTATGGCATGCTAGATTAGGTCATTTACCGTTTTCATCATTGGAAGTGTTGTTTCCAGAATTATTCAAAGGTGTTTCAAGTCAAGAGTTAGTTTGTGAAGTCTGTCAACTATCAAAGCAATGTAGAACTGTTTATTCAACTTCTAGTAATGAAATTCAAGCTTCTGTTGACTTAGCCCACTATGATGTTTGGGGCCCCTCTCCCATTATTTCTGTTGATGGCTTTCGATACTTTATCAATTTTATTGATCATTATTCTCGATGCACATGGATCTACTTATTAAAAGCACGTAATGAAGTGCCACGGGTAACCATGACATTTTGCAAAATAATTGAGACACAATTTGGCAAGAAAATCAAACAATTCAGGTCTGATAATGCTGCTGAATATTTTGAAAGGTCCTTGAATCTRTTTATGGAGGATGCTGGAATGATTCATCAGTCATCTTGTGCTAGTACCCCCCAACAGAATGGGRTTRYTGARCRCAAGAATAGGCACCTATTGGAGACTGCTCGAGCCTTACTATTTCAGCACAAAGTTCCAAAAAACTATTGGTCTCAAGCAATCCTTACTGCATCATATCTGATAAATCGAATGCCATCCAAGGTATTGGGGATGAAAATTCCTTTCTCTATTCTTTGCCCTCATCTTCCTGACTTTTCTCTTTCACCGAGAGTCTTTGGTTGTGTATGCTTTATACATGTCAAGGATCCGAAGAAGACCAAATTGGATCCTAGGGCTACAAAGGGAATCTTTTTGGGGTACTCCCCTACTCAGAAGGGATACAAGTGTTATGATCCAGTCACCAAGAAAAAATATGTCACAAAGGATGTGGTATTCTTTGAGTCTCAATCCTATTTTCATTCTTCCCAGAATCCTCTTCAGGGGGAGACTAGTGGGATGGAAGAGGATTCTTCTGTTCCCTCCTCTCTACCTCGGACCTTCCATCTTCTCCTCCTGATCCACCTAGTTGTGGTATTCCAGGTGAATCTAGTGAGGCTCCCATGGTACCAGCTACTACTAGTGATGTTGCAAATGTTACTGAAGACTCTAGGCAGAAAAGAGATATCAGAATCACCTACAACAGAAGGAAGAAGGGCCCCCTAACTCATGACAACAACCAATTGGACTCAGATCAACCTGTCTCAGAAACTCAAGGTAATCCTATCAATTCCTCTGACTWGGATCTTCCTATTGCCCTTCGTAAGTCTACCCGTTCTTGTACTATCAGACACCCCATTGCTGATTTTGTGTCTTACTCACATTTGTCTCCTCGTTATGTTCTTTTGTGTCTGCTCTCTCTTCTGTGCATGTCCTTACTAGGTATTCTGAGGCAATATCTGACCCAAAATGGAAAGAGGCTATGGACGAAGAAATGAAGGCCTTAATGAAAGCAGGGACTTGGGAATTAGTGGATCTACYARAAGGGAAAGGCACTGTTGGATGCAAGTGGGTGTTCACTRTGAAGCATAGGGAGGACGGGTCCATTGAAAGGTACAAGGCTAGACTGGTAGCAAAAGGGTTTACTCAAAAAGAAGGGATTGACTACAAAGAAACCTTTGCTCCGATAGAAAAACTCAACACAATCCGAGTTCTATTATCATTAGTTGCAAATTTCTCATGGGAGCTACATCAGTTGGACGTGAAGAATGCTTTCTTAAATGGCGAGTGGGTGGAATGTGGGTTGCAAATTACTCAACCCACATTCCAGCCCTCTTAGAGGTTTTTCACGCTTCACTAGTGGGTGGACATTCTGGCATCCTACGAACATATCGTAGGGTATCATCTCATTTTTATTGGGTGGGGATGAAGAGACAGATTCGGGAGTATGTTTCCATGTGTGCAATATGTCAGCGGCATAAATATGACAATCGACAATCAGTCCCCGGCCGGGCTGTTACAGCCTATACCGCTCCTGGAACAAGTTTTGGATGAGGTAACTATGGATTTCATTACTGGTCTACCTCCTTCCCGCGGAAAGACAGTCATTGTTGTTTTTGTGGATCGGCTGTCTAAGTACACGCATTTTGCACCACTTTACCATCCATACACTGCAGCACAAGTGGCCAAAACTCTTGCCCAGGAGGTCTCCCATTTACATGGCACACCCAAGGAAATTATCTCTGATCAGGACTCGGTTTTCATGAGTCGTTTCTGGGGTGAATACTTCCAGGTGCAAGGAACGAAACTCCATCATTCCACCAGCTATCATCCACAGTCCGATGGACAGACAGAGGTGGTGAATCGTTCCCTTGAGACCTACCTTCAGTGCTTTACTAGTGATTACCCCGGGAAGTGGACCAAGTGGCTGCCGTGGGCGGAATAACTGGTATAACACCTCTTTTCAAGTTTCAATTGGCATGTCACCTTTTCATGCCCTGTATGGAAGGGAACCACCCTCTCTACTACCCTATGAAAAGGGATCCACAGCTGTGACTGAAGTAGATGCACATCTAGCAGACAGAGATGCAGTCCTTAAGGACTTAAAGGCCAACTTGCTAAAGGCACAACAACAAATGAAGGCCTACTATGATAAGAAACATCGAGATGTTCAGTTCGAGGTAAAAGACTGGGTTTATTTGAAGCTGAGACCCTACAGGCAGAGTAGCTTGGCCAAAAGGTCCTCTCAAAAGTTGGCTCCCAGATTTTATGGTCCATTTCATATTGTAACCAGGGTGGGGAAGGTGGCTTATAAGTTAGACCTCCCTCGCTCTTCCAAGATACACCCCACGTTTCATGTATCCCTATTGAAGAAACACTTAGGGCCAGTCCCTTCGGTTTCAGCTTGCCTACCAGAATTTTCTGAGGAGGGGGTTCTACATCCAGAGATGGATCATATTGCTGACTTCAGG